AGGTCCTTGCTTTCCTTCCCACAGACCTCTGCTTGCTGCTCCGCGCCAAGTCTGCTGTTCCAGCAAACTAACACCGCGTCTCAGGGTTTGCAAAAGCAGTCCTAGCCTGTGCCAGCTTCCAGCCACTGCCCTGGCTTGCAGCTTTCCCATCACTCCGGTCCCCAGAAAGACAAAACCAGCCACCAAAAGCCAGGGTGTTACTGCCATTGCTACAGAACAGGGTTATGAGCTTCGGCGAGCACAATGTATGCCACGTACCGAAGAGCAAGAAATAAAGCTCAGCCTTTTCCCTGCCACCTGTTTGCTTTGCCCGTGTTATGTTGTGCCAGAAGGGAAACCAGAAAACCCCACAAGGCAATAACTCACAGGAACTGGCAAAGAGCTGGAGGAAGCAGTTAGAGAAGAACTAAGAAGCTGCAGTGGAATCCTAAAGGATGAAATGAATTGCTACAGGTACCCAGCAACAGTGAACTACCGCCACAGGTTTGGCACTGGCAGGGGTTTGGGCCAATGCTCATGAGCTACAAATATTTTGAAATAAGCTCAGTAACAGAAACCAAACCTACTTGCCATCGCAGGTACACGTGGAGGTGGACGCTAAGGCTATGCTCTCCTGCAATGCCACCCGTCTGTTCTGGCGGCGGGGAGGCAGGGCCGCGTCCCCCTCAGCCAGGGACCTGCATTTTCAGGGCCACCTGGAAGGTCATAGGATTGCATGGCTCATCTTTGCACCCAGGGAAATCTCTAAATTAATAACTTCAGCAACTCACTGCCGTGCATATATATATATCTATATGGTCATGCCTTTTAAAGCTGGATCTAACGCCAAACAAGAACTTTAATATATAAAAAAGACCCCAACCCCAAACCAGTGTAAGGCACAAGGACCAAGTTCTGATTTTACTCACAGGAGAACAAATCGCACGGGATTTCATGGGCTCCACTTTCCTACCTGGGGGGCTGACTGATTGCCCTTCGGTTTCTTACCGGGATAGCCCACTTCCAGAATTCCTAGGAATGTCAAGATGGGCATGAGCAGGAGTAGGAGTTGGGAATGAAGAAGAGTGTTTTGTTTTGTTTGTTTTTTAAGGATGAACTGCTGCCAAGGGCTTGCTCTTGCCTCTTGCTACAGAAAAGGGTCACCATAATATTCAAAGTCCCCATTCCCCCCCCCAGTTGCCTTTGCTTGCCCTGGTCACTCGATGCATACAAACTCCAGGGGAAGGGTGAGGGTGAAATTCCGTATCGTTATGGAATGAAGCCGTTATAAAATAGTCACCTGGACTGATTCACGAGCGGAGTGATACAGGTTCGCAAATCATTTGTGGTATTTTCAAAGGTCGTGGGGTGTTGAGCACCCAAATCCCACTGAATACCAGTTTGATATGGGCACTTTGCTGCCTCGGCTCTTTCAAACACACTGGCTGTGAATTCCCCCGTCCTGCCTGCACCCTGCTGCATCCCCATGAAGCGGGGGCAACCACAGTGACCTTGCTGGGCTTCCCGAACGCGCCGATGCTGCCAGCGGAGCGCCAATCTGTGGGTGTTATGGAGATATTACAGACCCAAACCATCCCTGCTTACGCTGAGCTGTATACTTTGCCTTCCTAGATGAGTTTCAGGGTTCATTTATTTACTGTGGTATTTTCTTCAGGCATTTTATTTCATATACCACTCTCAAAAGCTTTCGAAGTACAAACCATTACTTGGCAGGACTTTCCCCGAGTCTAACCGGGTTTCCCACTGCTGTCCCAGTCAGGCTAACTAGGTACACGTCCTCTTGCAAAAATGCCTTTGCTTCATTTCAGAATCCACCGCTGCTCAAGTCTGGACCTGTCTCTTGGATGCCTCCAGGACTCTAAAGTGGAGCCCGTGAACCGTGAAGCCGGGAGGCTCCACCCGTCGCCCAGCACCCTCCTTGGGAAGCCAAGAGGGATGCCCAGGCGCTCTCAGAAATTAATTTCTGGTGAAAGCTGATATTCCAGTAGTCTAAAGGCAAACTATGGCAATGGTTTCAGTAGGTTTATGGCAATCAGACGGGATACACGCCCTTCCAGTTACTTCTTTCAGTACCCACTTGTGCGCGGTAACAACCCAGGCAGGGCCCCATCCGTTCCTGCGAGTGCCTAGCAAAGCGCGTTGCTGTGCAGAAAAGCAGTTGCTTCACAGGATCAGCTGGGGCCAAATTTCCCTGTGTGTTGTCAGTCATGTTTTGCATAAACCGCAAAGACCAGCCCATGGAGCTGTGCTGGGAGCTATTTTTATTTTTTCCCTGTGCAGAGCATCCCAGCCAACTTAACCATTTCTTTGGCATAGCCGGGTGTTTGCCAACTGCTTATGCTGCCCCCGCTGTAGCTTCAGACGAGGAAAGATTCCCTTGTGGTGCTCCAGAACTTGGCTTCTCTTTTGAGATCCTCGGTTAGCATCTACCGGTTCGACTCCTTGCAACATAGATGGACGTGGTAGCTGAAGGGCTGAAGGGCTGAAACGACCCTCGCTCCACCCTGGTCACCAAATACCAATAAAAGGTCGCTGTGATTTTGGCAACAGCAGCCTGGGATAGGTGTGGGCTGCTCCCTTAAGAAATGCATGTAGGTTTTTGAGCTGCATGCAGATGCAGCCTGTAAATTCTGTTTTTTTTTAAAAAAAAACATTCGATATTCTGGTGGCTTTTTGCAGACAGAGCTAACTCCTGCTTCCATCAGCTCCCTGCGCCGAATTCTCCCCCCTTACTGGAAAGGCACAGCCTGCTACGAATAACCACATAGCTCGATGACAGATGAACTTGTCTCTGATTTATCAGGGTTATGAAGACGCCCTGAAGGGCTGGTTGGGTATCACTGGGCGTCTGCCGGTTACAGCTCTGGCCTCGAATGGCCTCGCCAAGCTCAAGTCTCACAGTACTGAAGGAATTATTAACGCTGCGTTTCATTTCCGCAGGAACAGGACCTTCACTACTGCTGCGTCAGGGACATGCAGCTCGCAGTACAAACGTCAATGGGTGAGAATATTCACATACAGACCGCTGTACGTATGGGAATAGCCCAACAGGATGGCAGCTGACCTCTCAAATGGAACCTATAGCATTCACTGGCAAAAAAAGTACATTTTTCTGGA